ATTCTAAATCAACAGCAATGAGTGTGTTGGAAGTCCTTTATCACCCCTTTTATTATAAAATGTCACACCCTGGTTTTCATTCTTCGAGGTGAGCTACAAATGTGTTTTTTTGTGTGTGACTGATTCTTTGCATGGCTTCTCCAGAAAGCAGAGGTCAAGGCTAAGGACTTAAGTTTATTGGGTAGAGTATACCAGGAAGTATCACGAAGGACCAGGTAAATGAAGCAGGAAAGGAGAGAAAGTCTGTAAAAGATGATGTCATCTAATTGGCTGCCACTCCAGGCAACTGATGTTCAGTCTTGCAGGTTCTCCTTTGGAAAGTTGTAGAAATGATGGCTTAGTTTCCTAGTGCTGATATAACAAAAATTGCTATTGTCTTTGATGGTTGTCATCCAAGAAATAGTCTCTTCAAAGCAATCTTTATTTTTATTACAAAGTTAGGTACCATTGAGAGGTCTCTGAATCATAGTGACCCTATGTGCAACAGAATGAATCCTGGACAGATCCTGCTTCATCATCAATCTTTGCTGTGCTTTTAAGTCCATGTTGTAGTCACTGTGCCAGTACATCACATTGAGGGTTTTTATCTTTAATCAACCCTCTACTTTTCTAAGCAAGATATTCTGCAGGAGTTGGCGCTTCCCTGATAGCATGCTCAAGGTACGTGAGACCACGTCTCAACTCCTTGCCTCTAGTTCACTCTGGATACACTTCTTCCAAGATAGATGTGTTGTCAAAGCGGTCTCAGGTTCTGTTATTAAGCACTCTTTCAACCCCTACTCATTATTCAGTTCTAAAATTTCTTCCACATATTACATATCTGTTGGACTAACGCTCCCACTTCTCAGTACTAAAGTCTGCCTTTCTTATCAAGTGCTGCTGTGACACAAGCACCGAAACGAAATTGCTTAATATTGTTGTTATGTGTCACTGAGTCAGAACCGACTCATGGCTGACTCTGCAGTAGATTTTCAGGGATATTAAATTGCACAGGAGAAGATTGCCCATCTTTCTCCCATGAAGCAGCTGGTAGATTTGAATTGCATGGGGTCAGGTTTTGATCAACAGCACAACTCCTTACCACTAAGCCACCAGAGCCACCTGCTTGCTTGCTCAATCTTTTCTTTTTTTATATTATAGCAACTGACTCAAAATATGTTCTACACCAACTCTTCCTCATGAATGTAAAAAAGATCCTGCTGGGAAAGGTGGAAGGTCAGCCAAATTGAGGAAGACCTTCAACAAGATGATTAACACAGTGACAGGACCAATAGGCTCAGGTATATCGGAGATGGTGAAGATTAGCAGGACAGGGCAAGGTTCAGGTCTATTGTGCATCGTCATAGTTGACTCACTAGCACCTAACAACAGGATAATAAAGACAATCCATTTCCAAACTGGATTATAGCCACAGGCATAGAGGATAGAATTTACTACACATATTTTGGAAGTACATCATTCAATCCATCACAAACAGCCTTTCCAGGAAAGGCAACATTTTACCTACCACTTAGCCCTCACATCACACTGGCTCAAAGTCCAACCCACAAAGAATCTATTCCCCACACTTCAGGGTTAGAATATGACCATGCCTGGCAGGTTCTAGACTATGTCACACCTGGATTTCAGAGAAGCCCTGGACAGAAGCCCAGGGAAGGTCGACAGTGGTCAGTGAGGCTGAGAGCGCCCAAGAACCCCTGTTGGTGGGACTGTTAGGTGCCATTGAGTCAAGCACTACTCATAGTCACCTTATGAACAGTGGATCTGAATCCCACCTGTCCGGTCTGACATTCTTGGGCCCGTTGCTCACTGTGTCAATCCATCTTATTGAGGATCTTCCTCTCCTTCGTTCACCCTCCACCTTTCCAAGCATGATGTCCCTCTCCAAGCAATAGCCTCTCCTGACAACATGTCCAAAGTATAAAAGATGCAGCTTCATTATTCCTGCATCTGGGCAGTCCCCAGACTGCACTTTCTCCAAGATATATGTTTTTTTTTTCTTTCAGCAGTCCAGAGATATTCAGTACTCTAGCCCAACACCACCACTCAAAGACATAAATTCTTTTTCTTTCATCTTGACTCATTGCCCAACTCTCAGCTGCATAGTGAATGATTGAAAAGAGTGCAGGTTTGGGATCACTTAATATCTTTATACTGTTCTTGAGTAGAGCAGTATAATTTTTTTTTTCATTTTATTGTGATTTTAGCAAAAGTTTACAGAAAAGTTAGATTTTTTCATTCATCCATTGTTGTACTTTTTTAAAAAAGAAATTGTTGTATTTATTTGTAAAGACATATTCCTTATATTCTTTTTGGTTTGCTTAGATTGTGACCAATTTAACCATAAAACCAAACAACAAATTAAAATTTAACAAATAAAAGCAAACAAAAACAACAACAAAAACACAAACCTCACCTAGATTTTCTATTGTAAGGGTGAGGAGACCCTCAACAAAGAAACCCTGTTACCTAATGGAAACAGCTGACTCTGTGGGGCCAGACCAGTTCCATTCTGTTTTTCAGAAGATCCTCAGGAACAGCAGCTTAACTCAAGAGCAACTAACAGACAACTTAGTTTAAGGAGCAAAGGCAGACAATTCCATGCCATTTTAATTTTTTTTAATACAAAAACAGCCACCCCACCTTTCTTTATTGGTCAAGTATTGGGAGGAATTTGTTACAAAACTAGGCCTGTGGAATGTGGGGGTGCGAGTTCACTGCCAGACGTCAGCACTGGGGCTGGTGTAGCCAGAGCCTTGTTGCCGGCCACCTTCACCTCCCAGAAGGCAGCCGTACCACACAGAAGGTCGCTCCAAGGAAAGAGATTCCCCAGGTCCTACTCGTTGGTGATAGCAGAGGGGTTTTCCACCTCAATCTTGCCACCGTCGCAATGATCACACCCTTCAGTGGCCTTCTGTCTCGGTGCTCCCCACCTTGCAGACTGCATCCAGGCCTTCTAGAACTTGTCCAGACATGATGTGCTTCCCTTTTGCCAGGATGTCTTGACTGGAGTCATAAAGAACTGCAAGTCATTGGCAACCTTGCCTGCGTTGGCCATGCTCACCAAGCCAAGCCCATAGTGTTTCAGCTTGAGGTTTTCATTAAGGAAGCGGTCACCAGTGATACTCTTTCCTCCAGTGCCATCTCTACCCTGGATCATGAAGTCCTTGATCACACGATAGAATTTGCTGTCTTTATAGCCAAACCCTTTCTCGCCTGTAGCTAAAGTGGCAAAATTCTCCAGTGCTTTTGAAAGAGTCTTTCCAAAAAGAGACTGATAGCCACTCAACCTACATCTTCACGTCCAACTCGTGTATAACTGTGAGCCCCTTCTCGTCGCCTGTGGAGGGTCCAGGCAACAGCAGGAAGAAGATGGAGTCTGCACTGAAGGCAGCGGCAAAGAGCAACTTCATGTTCCACTCAAAGAAAGAGCAACTTCATGTTCCACTCTGAGAGATGCAGCATCCCAGTTCTGTACTATTTTAAGTCAAGAGGTTTTGCTATCATCAGTGGGGAGAGACTTCACCCATTCCCTGGCAGAGGAGCCTGGGGACTGGAGGCGCAATTAGCATTCTTCTAGCCACTCCCAGGCCACTTCTGAGCTGCCTCAAGGCAACTTCTGTTCTCCCCAGATGCTTATTAAGGTCCCTCAGAGCTCTGTATTTACAGCAGGAAAGGACTTTTGTTCCAAAAGTGATTTGAGGACATACATTTAATGAGAGGTATCTGCCAAACTCTGGTCTCCCAACACCTTCCCCTCTGTACCTTGAGGAAACCTCTGAACTCAAAAAGACAGTCTCTGAACCAGAAGTCAAGTCTCAGACATTGTAAGCATCTCCAGTGACACTTATACAGGGATTTGACCCATCTTTTGACAGTCAAGGAGTCTGAGAGCCAGTTCCAGTGGTCATGACCATTTTACACTCAAGAGAAGGGGGCCTCATTCCTCCTTCCTGATCCAAGGGTCTGCTCTAAGAACCAGGTGAAGCATGTCTGCCTGTGATGTTGAGCTGGAAGGTGGGGTGAGGGTGAGGCAGTGGGGTAGTGCTCTAAAAGTAAAATAGAAGAGATACTAGTACTTTGACATGGAGATTATCTTGCGGCACTCTGAGCTTTGGGTTGGTCCTTGTTTAACCACAGAATTGCTGCACGCCTTTGGGAGATATTTTACAATGCTCCTCCATGTTTAGATGGGCTCCTGTTATTATATGCTATCATATTTCCCCATAAAATGCCACTGCCATGGGCTATTCATTTGTTTGCACCAACAGTATTATTTACTGTACTCAGTCCATTTTGTAGTATTGGATGACCTTCCACAGAAGTTCAGCATTCTTGGCAGGCATTTTCCCCCCAGCCACAGAGGAACCCTGTATTCCTCTGGATCTGTCCAAGAGGTGGGAATGCAACAGCAGCAGCTGAGGACATGAAAATAACTAGAAATAAAATAGGCATCAGATTCAGAAAGGCTGGGAAAGAATTTTTAGCAGGAGCATTTCTCTTTTTGACAATGAATGTTCTCTAGAATTCATGAAACACTGGCTGAGGCACAGCTACATTTGAATGGGGGAAAGAAAACTCATCAAACCAACAACCAGAGCCTTCTGTAGACCAAACTGTGATTTCCTATTTTAAACAGAGTCCTGACCTTAGCATTTACTCTTGTGTTTACATATGTGATTGATATACAAAGTACTTGGGTGCATGAGAGTAGAAAGAAAGGAACCTTGGTGGTACAATATTGAAGCACTTAGCTGCTGATTAAATGGTCAGAAGTTTGAACCCACAGGCTGCTCTGAGGGAGAAAAGACCTGATGACCCTCCTCTGGAAAGACGTGAGCTTGGGAAACCTTTTAAGGAAATTCTAATCTGTCTATAATGTTGCTAAGAGCTGGAGTAGATGCAATAGTGCATAACAATGAAGATAGGACACAACCTTATTTATCCTATGTTCAGATTTTTGCTGTACATGAAAAATATTTAAGACTTGAATTACCTTGATGGCCACGGCGGGCGCGGGGCCGGGGCCGGGTGCATCTTCCGGGCTGGATGTGGCCCTGCAGAAACTGGTGCTGCGGCGGAAGAAGGTGCTGAGCGCCGAGGAGATGGAGCTGTACGAGCTGGCGCAGGCGGCGGGCGGCGCCATGGATCCCGACGTGTTCAAGTGAGCGCGCGTCGGGGAATCTGGCCCTCCGGGGAGCAGGACCTGTAGACCTGGAGGAGGGGCGCCCTGGCCCCGAGCTGGGCGGACTCACTCCTTACCTGCTTTTGTTCTCGCCAGAATCCTGGTAGACCTGCTGAAGATGAACGTGGCCCCTCTGGCTGTCTTCCAGATGCTCAAGTCCATGTGCGCCGGCCGGGGCCTGGCGAGCGAACCTATGGAGTCGACGGCCCTGCTGCTGCCCGCCGCTGGCGTGGCCGAAACCCGAGGTCAGGGCTGCGGTCACTGGCCGAGTGGAGGGCAGGGCACTTTGGGCCTTAGTGACCAGACCTTACAGCGGTTTTTCCTTTGAAGCCCTAGAACACTACTGCTGTCACCCTTGAAGGGCTTCCTCCAGAACCGGGGTCCTGGGGAGGGTGTCCGGAGGAGCCCTTTTCAGGGTCCCGCCCAGCAGTTATTCTAGGCTAAGGCAGGAGGAGACCGACCTTCCTGTCACCTCCTCGCCTGGACACCATCCACCCCAGGTGCTTTCCAGGGGCCACACCAGCCTCTTGCTTCCTTAGAACACACGACCCTCCCAGGACTTGGAGCTGGAGGCCAGGTGACCAGGTCGTGTGAAGCCTGAATGCCTGCACCAGAACACCTGGTGTCCATTCTGTGTTCACTTGTGTCCATTCTGCACCCTACGACCCCTGGACGTGAATTAAGATACAGCAGAAGCACCCAGGCAGACGGCAAGGGTTCAAGGCCAGCTTTCTTCCCAGAAGCGGGAAACACTGGATTCTATGGGCCTCCTGGCAAAGGGAGTGGTAGAGGGTTGGATTCTGGGTGGTGGGAGTGCTGGGGGGGACCTTCAGCACCCCATAACTTATCCTGAACGGCCCTGGGCACCTGCACCGCCCGCCTCAGCATTGACTCTGCTCTTTCTGCTTTCTCTGTGTCTCTCCAAACTCCAGAGGCCTCTCCTCTCTCTGCCGAGAACAGTAGCCCCACAGCGAGGCCATCCCTTCCCGCGGCCTCTCCAGCCCTGCTCTGCGGCCCGCCTGCCACGCTCTTGCCTCTGTCCCTGGGGCCTCCTGGTTCCCTCCGCTTCTCTTGCTGCCTGTTCTCTCCTTTTGCAGGTGGCGTTTATTAGTTTATCTCTGGGGGTTGGTGCTTGTTCTGGCTTTTGTGAAAGCCCAGCCCGGGCTGGCTGGAGCTGCATGGGCAGGCCCTTGGGGGTCTACTGTGCACAATGCAGAGACAAACCGCAGAACTTGTAGGCCACCGGGGCAGCTTTCAAGGACAGGACAGGCTCCACACTTCCCAGGTAGCCCTGGTAGGTGACATTGCACCAAGGAAGCACCCCATCTTTAGAAGGGCCATTTAGGCACTGGGATGAGAGCAGCCTTTGTCCTAGATGTGTCTTAGCTTCTCAGAAGCTCACATGGACTGGCTGCTGGGGTTTGGAGCCTCATGGAGGATGAGGTAGAGATGTTAGATGCTCCTGCAGTTTTCCTTGGTGTGTAAGTGACGTGTGCTTCCGAGTCCCTTCTCCTGCCTGGTGCCTGGGCCAGGCTACCTCACAGGCCTCTCAACATGATAAGAAAGAGGTGAGATTTGGCTACCAACTTGTTCCTTCTCCCATGTACACTGCATTGTAGGTGCCTCTGGAAACTCAGAGTACAAGTCTCCCTCCACACCTACAGAATGTTGCCCCAGGTCAGGGTGTCCACTGCCTTACAGGGGGCAGCATGCATACTCTGTAAACTTGTGTGCTGGGCATGGCTCTCAGAGTCAGGAGGACAACAGGGAATTGGGATGAACAGAGCAACGGGGCCAGCAGTGTGGCCAACCAACCCTAGGCAACTCTGCTGGAGCTTGAGGGATAAACTGGGGAAGGGACAGTTAGCAGGGGCAGTTGGGAAGGATTTTAGTACCAGCAAGTGGCATATGCCACCCTGCAGCTGCCCAGTCCCTCCTTGCCAAACTTAGGGTGCTAAGAGGAGGGTTATGCCTCAAGAAATGTTGGGAGTTAAATCAGCAAGGCTTGGGGACTATAGGGTCTAAAGGTGTGAACAGAACCCAGAAGAATGGCAAGGGGAGGCACTTCTACAGGTTTAGAGAGGAAAGATGAACTAAAGGAGAAGGACGTGCATGAGGGGAGATGAAGCTAGGGTCTGAGTGAAGGGAGTTGTGTCTGGGCAGCCCTTCCCTGTGGGAAGTGATAGCCTGGTGATAAGTGGGAAGACCTGTGGGTAAGGGCATGTGACCTCCTCTAATACCCTCAATGAGATAGATTGATACAGTGACTGCATCAATGGACCCAAATGTGTCAAGGATGATGATAGTACAAGACAGAACAGTTTGCTTGTTCATAGGGTTGCTATGAGTCCTACTTGACTAGACAGCATCTAACAATAGCATCTTTACAAAGAGCTCTGGCAGCTCAGTTGTAAGGAGTTGCACTTCCAGCTCAAAGGTACACAGTTTGAATTCATCAGCTACTCTGTCTGTCTATATCCTCCTGTCTATTTTATTGCCTCTGAAAACCTGCTGGAGGGTCAGCTGGAATGAGTCATTCCAACTTGATAGTATATAACAATTACTCCAGAAGAAGAAAGGAGAATCAAGATCAATAGCCTAAGGCAAATTCCCATAAGGTGGGTCTTAAGTTAGCAGACTTAAGGAAGAATTCAGAACAAGAGAAAGCTAAATGCAGCTTTATTAAAGGGGGGAATAGGGGAGCTGCCAGGTGAAGGTCCTCATTCTGGGGGATGCAGAATGGGGAAGTCACACTGAACTTACCAGGGAGGGTTTTTATAACAGTCTAGGTAGGGACATTCCACTCTGATTTATGAGCTCAGCCAGGCAGGCAAGGAAGGCCATTTGCTCTTATCAGTGGCAGGCAAGGCCATCAGCGTTTGAATTCTGAATTCTTCCTGTCTTTGGCCACCTTTGTCCAGGCTTAACATCCCAGCCTCTTTAGTGATAAAACAGGGTGATGTATCTTTATTTTGGCTACTTCCTGCTGAGCAGGGGCCAAGGTTTGGGGGTTCGGAAGCTGTAGTGAGTTGGTCTGGGATTAGTGGCCAGGGGAGAATTAAGTTAGTCATTTCCTTGACCCTGTGAAGTAAGAATTTAAAGAGATATGGAACGATTAATAACAATATGGTGATGATTACTGTTGGTCTTTAGATAAGGAAGAATTTAAGCTAGAAATGGGTTTTTGAGCTAATTTGGGAGAAGGCTTGTGGTTGAATTCTTTATAGAGTTTTATTACACCAGAAGTGTTGTCCTGGTTCAGCTGCAATGTGCTTACATTGTTTATACAGTTCTTATGTTCTGTTGCAGAGGATGCTAGATGCAAGAGGGCTTAGTCTGCTTATCAAGCACTGGTTCTCAGAAGGGAATGCGTTTTGGAATGTTAGAGTACTTAATTTGGGCTAGTGAAGTGGCTTGAGGTGGTTTGGTGGAGTGTGGTTTAAGAAATGGATTGGTACTGCTGCTAGCAAAAGTCGTTGTAAAGAGGCACACAGAGAACAAAGGGAAAGGTTGGTCACTATTTGACTTTGGCTAAGGAATAGTAAGGTGCTCTGGATAATTGGGACTCAAGTTGGGGCCTGCATAGTTTGTGGCTCTCCAGAGACTTGTTCTATTATTGTCTGCTCAGCTTGGAGAATGTCATTGGAGACCTGTACTTGGGTATTGGCATATAGAGTGTATTCTGTGCTTATGTGTATTGTGCTAGAGGGCAAGGGACTATATATAAATAGTGTTTCTTTAACTCTAGCTTGCCACTGGACATTCCAGGGGTTTGAGATAGAAAGGTAGAGCGTTTTTTGTTTTGTTTAATAGAATATAGTGGTATTATAAATGTTACTGATTTTGCATGCCTAATATGGACAACTTGTATATATTTTTTTTGGTTATTTTTTATAGTATTAGTGAATTTGGTTATGTAAGAAGTAAACAAAGGGTTGTTTATAGGATGAAACTGCTTTAGGTGATATTGAAATGGTGATTGTTGTTTGGTATTTTTGTTGGAGCAATTTGCTGAGCCAATAAGGTGTATGGTTGGATTAGACTGCTGTGTGGAGGTGGTTTGTGTTTTTTTCTTTGTTTGTTTGTTTGTTTTTAGGGCTTGAGTGCTGACTGAAGTGTAGTAGGACTTAGCATTGAAAGTGTAGGAAGTTCACTCAGTGAGGGAGGCATGTTTGACTTGAGAAAGGTGTTGTTAATGGGGGTTACTTATGACCTTAATAGCTGTGCCGGTGGTCAGGATGACTGTATAAGGTTTGTTTTAGTGTGGTAGGAGAGGCTTGGGTGCACGCTGTTTGTTGAGTATTGTGTTTCTTGAAGGGACTTTAGTGGCTTCGTTTAGACTTTGAGACAAGGGTTTGGTTATGCAGTGGTCTGTTTTTAGAGTAATTGTTTAAGGAGGGAGAGATGAGGTATGATGCTAAAAGAAGGGATTTGGTGAGTAAGTTATGGCTTAGCAGAAACAGTTGGGTGTACATTAGTTGGAGGGGGTTTAGAAAGGACAGTGAGCGTGTTGTTCGTATACAGGCTAAGGCAGTAGGAAGTAAGTCAACCCAAGACCTGCATAACTCTACAGTCAGTTTAGTAAGATGGGACTTAATGGGTTTATTTATGTGCTTTATTTTGCCTGAAGACTAGGGGTGATATGGTATATGCAGTTTCCAGCAGATACCTAAACTAGAGGATACCTTCTGGGTGACTTTGGAGACAAAGCTGGGACCATTGTCTGTTTGTATTGAAGTAGGGAGGGCCAAACCTGGGGATGCCATGCTGGAGCAGGGCTTCAGGTGACTTTATCTGCTGTTTCTCGCTTGGGTGAGGAAGGCTTCAGCCTATCCAGAAAAGGTTTTTACTATAGATAGGAGATACTTATATTTTTTTGTGGTTGGCATATGTGTGAAATTAACTTGTTAATCCTGTCCACACATGTGGCCTTGGAGTAGATGTGTGGTGGAGTGAATTTAAGGGACTTTGTGGGGTGGTTTCTTGCCGCATTATGAAGGGGTTTTGCTAGTAAGGAAAAGTTGGGAATTCAGTGTTTAAGGAAACTGATAAAATTGAGAAAAGAGGATTTTATTTGCAGTCTGAGGTGGTTGGAAGCTTTTAATGGCTCTGCGTTCATTGGCTGTTGAATTTCTAGTGGTGGGGATCAATTGAAAGCTGATATATGTGCCTGTGAGGAGAGACAGTTGGGCTTTGGAAGGGGATACTCTGTATCCTTTGGAGGCTAAGAAGTTAAGTTGAGCTG